GCCTGGAGCAAGTGCATCCAAATGTGTAAAAAATCAGCTGCCTGGGGGCAGCTTTGGAACCCTTCAGTCCTTGCAATCCCTTGGAGTCTTTGTCAGGAGAGCAGGAGGTTCCTGGCTTGGTTCAATCCCTTTGTCAGGAGAGCAGGAGGTTCCTGGCTTGGTTCAATCCCTTTGTCAGGAGAGCAGGAGGTTCCTGGATTGGTTCAATCCCTTGGAGTCAGGAGAGCAGGAGGTTCCTGGCTCGGTCCAATCCCTTTGTCAGGAGAAGGGGATTTTCCTGGCTCTGCAGTGGGTGCTGTGCTGGGCTGGTCCCTGCCACCCAGGATGAGGGCTGTGGAGGCTGCTGGGCTGGCAGTCACCCCCTGCAGCACGTCACCCAGTGCCAGCTGTGCCCAGCGTGTGGGTGTCCCTTTCCTGACGGGAGCGATGTGTTTTGGGGCAGGGAGTAGGAGGGAGTGTTTCTGGTTGCTGCAGCTTGAGGTCTGAAGCTGTTGTGTAGGCAGTGGGGGTCCCCAAGAGGGCACATGGATTTCCAGGGGTGGCCCATGTGCCAGGGAATGTCACCTGCCTTCTTGGTGGCCGCTGTGCTATTGAGTGTGGGCGGTTGAGTGGACCATGGAGTCCGCTGTAGCTCTTATATCCAGTTTGCTCATTGAAGGAGATATCTGTGTCATCAAGGAGCTGTACAGGACAGCTTTGTGGAGGTGCTGGGAGAGTAGGAGGTGCCCAGCTCCCTTTGCAAGGGCTCGGTGTCTCCACCTCCACAAAGCCTGGCTGCAGGAACCACGTGCCGAGGGGAGGCCTTCAGTGGCCTCATTGAACTCCCGATGAAGGATGCTGCCCTGGCCCTGGCCAGTCTGCTCTTTTACAACACTGTAGTATCTATTTATTTATGATTTCCGTGGGTGGTGTTTTGGATGATCTATTGAGCCAGAGTGAGATATTTTGAGGCACAGTGAGATATTTTAAAAACATCTCATCACTCTGGAAATATCCATGGTGCGATAGCTGTGTATTAGTCATTCGGAAAGGGAGTGATTTCAATGAAAGAAAAAACATTTCATCTTGTCAGAGCATTTTCACTCACTGTCTGCCAGGCAGCTCCTGTCAGTCTTCAGTCTCTGTGGCTGGTTTTACTCTTCTTAGGCTCTGCCTTTTTTATTTTCTAACAAGAAATAAAATAAACCCTCTAATGGATATTGGTACCTATAAACTCGTCAATTGTTGGTGAGAAAGACTCTGTGAAAAGATACAATAAACCCTCTTTGTACTGGATTATTTCCCATGGGATTATTTCTCTCAGGGACTATCTGCATTTGGAAGGAGAAACTCCTTCTCTGGGTATTGAACCTTGAAAAAAAAAACCCCTGCCCTCCAAGATTATTTATCCCCCTGAAATGTGAGAGTAACTCCAAAACCCTTGAATGTCAGCTGGAGATGCAGAATTAGGCTCACAGAGAGCAGGAAGAGAGATGGTTTTCTCCTAGGCAAAAAAAAAAAAAAAACCTGTTAGAAAACACAAATGATGAGGCCTTGTCCTGCAAGGGAGAACAGCTCAAAGCCGTTCAGCAAATGAAAAGCCAAATGAGCTGTGAAAACCTCACCACCATGGTAGGAGAGATTTTCTCTTGGAGGAAATCTGCCACAAATCACCTAATATTCAGCTTTGCACTGCCATTTGGGAAAATGCTCATCATATTCCCCTGGTCCCTGCTGCAGCTGATGTGTGTCTGTGCCTGGGTTTCTCTTGCACAGCCTGCACGCCCAGGGGGAGGTGATTGGGCCGAGGTGCTCCTGTTCTTGGATCATTCTCTGTAATCAGGCAAAGAGAAGTTGCACTGTAGTTACACCCTGAGTGCTGTTCACTGTTGCTTTGAGGGGCACAATTGCTATTGCTTCATGCAACAAGTAGATAACTGCTTCAATGACTCAAAATGATCCCTTTGTGGATAAATCACAGTGTTGATATTCCAAGTTTTTCCAGGGTACACAATAGTAGAATCGTAAAATCAGTTTTAGTTGGAAGGAACCTCGAAGCTCATTCAGTGCCACCCCCTGCCATGGGCAGGGACACCTTTCACTGTCCCAGGTGCTCCAAGCCCTGTCCTGTGTGGCCTGGGGCACTTCCAGGGATGCAGGGGCAGCCACAGCTGCTCTGGGCACCCTGAGCCAGGGCCTCACTACCCTCAAGCACATCTAAGGGCACCTCCCTGGTGGGAATGGGGTTTTAGGGGATGTTCCTCTGCTGCTGTGGCTGCCCCTTGGCCATCTCCTTTGGTACTGGGAGTCTTGGCTGGGTTTTCTCTGCACCAGTGCTGAGCTCTGGCTGCATCCCTGTGCAGGCCCACCCCACTTCCACTGTGGCCATAGAAACTCCAGCCAGAGCTGTAAAATTGAAACTCTTCGCTACAGAGCAGGAGAGGGCAGGAGAAAAGCAGCCATGGATCTCCTTGATGCCTTGGAGCCTTTTCCCCAGCTCTGCCAGGACAAAAGGGGCATCACTCCCCATGAAAGCAGGAACTGGGGGGATCAGGGTGCTGACTGCCCTGGAGCAAGTGCCCATAAACCCCATCTTGCTAAAATTTGGGCTTGGCAGCATTGACCTGTAACCTTTACAACTGCTGCCTATTTTTTCTTGGCCAAATGAAATTAAAATGGCCAACCAGTGCCATTTCTTTCCTTTAACCTTTTCCCTTTCATGTCCACACTTGACCCAAAATAATATTCTTTCTTGGTGCTCCCTTGCTGGACACTAATTCAATTAATTCAGTTAATTAATTAACACAAGCTGACCTCTTGCTTTTCTTGGCCAGGGGCAGCAGGACTTACCACCCACGTGGTGAATCCTCTGCTCTCCTGCCCTTGTGGCAGGGCATCTCCTGCATCCCTTTGGTGATGAGCATGTCCTCGTCCCGTGCCCCTGAGTCAGCACTCTGCTGCTGGCGTGCTATTTCAGCTCAGGGAAAAAAAAAAAAAAAAGAAGAAAGTTTCAGTATTTAAAGTATTTAAGCAGATGGAAAGCCACAAACTACAGTCGGTGGAAGGAGCGTGTTTCATGACTAACAAAATATGCCAGGTAGGCCGTTCCACTTGAGATATTTTCAGGAATATATAATCACTTTCACACATCCTCATAAATTTGCCAAAGTGTTAGTTTTCCCCCATATGGATGGGGAGGATGCAGCATGTCATGACTGTTGCACGGCATCTTGAATGCTGTGTCTTCGTGGTGTAGGTTTTTTTTTTTCCTTTATTCCCCCCACCCTGGCTGTAATTGCAATTTTAAGTTTGATTCACCCTTGCTCATAATGAGTGTAGGCAGAAGGTCATCCTTGAACATTGTGGTGAGAGAGCTCCTTGGACAAGGCAGGGCAGAGGAAGCAGCAATTAAATCTCTAATAATACCCCCAAAAATGGACTGGAGCAGTTCCAGGGATGCTGTCCCAGTGGGGTACCATCAGGTGATAAAGGGATGCTCTAGGGGAGCCCCAAAGGCTGCATTCTTCCCACTGAGTTCCTCTGAATAGATGCTCCAGCGTGGCACTGGGGTAAACAAATGCAAAATATTTTGAAATCATTCAGTCTCAGCATTGGATTCTTTCTTTTCTTTCTAGTATCATGGCAAAATTAAATAAAAGGACCCGTTTTCTGCATGTTATTGATCTTTCACTCAAAATCTGGGCCCTTTTCCAGGAAAAATGAGCCCTTTTGTGAACAAAGAGACAGGCACCTTCCCAACAAAAGTCAGCTTTCAAATCCAATGTTCTGTGTGTTTGAAAATTTATGTTTCTGATAGGAAAATATCAATTTCACTCAAATTTGTAGAGCAGTGATGTGGTGGAGGGGAGACGGCCCTGAATGGATTGATGAGCACTTGAAGGCCAGATTGCCAGAGGGATTTAAAAGCAAAAGAAAAAGCAACCTTGTCACTGATTTTGAGCAGCTTGTGTTGGAATCCAGAGCCAGGCTATTGGACTGGAGCTATCCCTGCTGTCCTTTTCTCTTGGGGACCTAGAGCCTTCACTGTACACTGTGCATGTGGCAGGAGGGCTCAGCCCATCTCTCCTGACCAAATCCCAGCCTCAGTGGTTTATACACCCTTTTTTTAAAACATGCTGGTGGCTGGAGCCAGGCTCTGAGTTGGCGTGTGCTGGCCTTGCTCCGTTACCCTGGTTGGGTGCCCCACTGAGAGCTGCCTGCTGGTGTCTCAGACAAGCTGGGCTTTGCCAGCAATGTTTTACAGGTTAATTTGTCAAATCTCTGTAGCTTGATTATTTGTTGGTGGAGCCCTTGAGGATTGCTGGGGAGGAGATGCGTTACGCTCCCTTGGACCGTGCTGGCACACACATGCTCAGCTGTCAGGCAGGGCTGCTGAGCTGGGTGTCCTGAATGTTCTCATAGCAGCCCATGACACTGCCCCCATGGTAATGAGGGTGCCTGTGTTCCCCTGCCACTGCATCCTTCAACAGCAAGTAAATTGGTTTTTGTCATTGTTCTCCCTGTGCCAGCAGTGGTGCTCCATCCTCAGTGTGACGTGGGGGGATGGAGGTAGTGCTGGCTCAAGGGCATCATTCCCAGGGCTGTCCATCATAGAATCATGGAGTGCTTTGTGTTGGAAGAGACCTTAAAGATCTCATTTCACCCCCCCTAGCGTGTGCAAGGACACCTGCTCCTTGTCCACTGCTACATGGAAGGTTTGCCTGGTGCCTGAGCAGAGAATTTCCCCCCTGCCCCATGGGATTGCTCCCGGGGCTTTGCTCCCGGGCTGCGTGTGTAAACTTGCTTATCTTGGGAAAGGCACGGCGGCGCTGACAAGCGGTGCAGGAGATGGGGGCAGTAGGTGGATCGTTTTTAGCAGCGTGCACGCACGGAGCAGACAGCTTGGGCATGTTCCAAAACACTTCCCACGCCCCCAGGCTGAATTTTAAGAAGCTGGGGCATCTGCACGTTCAAAACGCTACGGGGTGGAAGGGAAAAAAGGAAAAAAATCCCCAAGGCAGGCAGAGCAGCCAGCGCGTGGAAGGGGCAGGCAGCACCCAAAGGCTGATGTCTTGCTGCGGAAGGGAGTTTGTTGCAAAGGCTGAGCAGCTCCAAGCCGCTCTCCGGAGGGGCAGAGCACAGGTGAGCGTGGAGCAGCGGGCGCTGGCTTGCAAGCTGGTCTCGCTCTTGGTTGAGTGGGGGGAATGGGAAGAGGAGCTTGAATTACCCAGGAACGGCGCCCGGGTGAGTGCCTGTTCCTCCTGTCCAGCTGGGGTGGTGCAGCTTTTGAGGAGCCCCACACATTTGGGGGCCCCGGAGTCTTGCAGTAAAAGGGGGTTAGTGGGGGGGGGTAGTCCTGTCTTCCTTATGGTGATGGGAATGAGTCCTGTGCTCAACCCACTTTTGGTGTTTTAAGGGACTGCCTGCGATCCTGCCCATTAACAGCAGGAGATGCCCCACTGATTTCTTTCTGTGGGGAAGCCCTGATATGCAGGACCAGCCTCATCCCCTTCTGCATCTCCTGGGGAAGCTGAAACAAGCAGGCAGTGGGCAGGGATTGACGTTGGGAACACACAAGCTCTGGGCTTGCACTGGCTAGCTAAAGGCTATTTCAGCCCTACCTAGGGCTCCCTGGGCAGGATGGGATATCCAGCCCAAGCAGGGAACTCTGAGGGATGGGGAACAACCTGTGTGTATGGTCCAGCAGAGTCTTGGATCCCCTGGAGTGATGATCAGGAGTTCCTTTCTGAGTCCTGGTATAGCTTTGGATAAGTTGCTTCAGCTGTAAAGGTTGGGAGCTTTCAGTGCTGGTTCTCAGCTTACATGCTGAGAACAGCCCCAGTTCTTGCTGTTGCTGCTCCCTTGGGATCCAAGGTCCCTGCTCCTGGTGGTGTGGGGCCTCGGACATCTTGCACTGAAGCATCAGGAAGGGATGGGTGTAAATCTGGAGAGCCCAAGGTGCCGTCCGTGTTCCTCAGATCAGGATCCGGTGTGCGCTCTGTGATCCAAGGGTGGGGAACACGCCTTTCTGCACGTTCCATCGAGCTCCCATTGGTGCTGCTGGCGAGGAGGATGATGGTGTAGCATCCTGGCAGCCTGGAGCCATCCTGCTAGGGTGGCTGGGCTCTGACTGCTCCCTCCCATCTCGCTGGGCCAGGCACTGGGGGATGCTCCTCCCGACGCATCACGTGCACGAGGGGCATCTTCCCAGCGCTGCCCGTGGCTGCCTCCTGTGCTGCTCCTGCCTCCCGTGCTGCTTCTGTCTCCTGTGCCCTCCTGTGCCATTCCTGCCTCCTGTGCCCTCCTGTGCCACTTCTGCCTCCCATGCCATTCCTGCCTCCTGTGCCACTCCTGCCTCCCAGCGCTCACTCTGGCAGCGTGCAGCTCTGCCCTTCTCCTGGCAAAGCCAATGGCTTATTACAATGTGGCTTTTGCCTGGTGAGGAGACAGGGAAACTAGTGAGAAGTGAATACTAGAGAAGTCCTGGGGGGAGATTTAAATGCCTCCAAAATCAGAGCTTTTTTCCTTTCATTTTGGGAAGAGAAGACTTCTTGGGAGGCCTTCAGTTCCTAGGTATCCCTCCAGAAGAGGCTAAAACAGATTTTAAGTTATGCACTTTGTAAGTCTCTTGGTACCAACAGAAGTTGTGCTCTCCATGGTGTCCTCACGTGCCTGGTAGCCTCATGGCAAGAGCATCTTCTTGGCAATAGGTGTTCCTGGGTCCTTCTGTCCCTTGTCCCTCAGGTGGGCAGTACATTTGCACTCTGGCACCCAGGGGAGGAGTACAAGGCCCTCCTGGTGCTAAACACAAGATGCTGTTCTATGCCCTCCAGGGTGAGGAGGAGGCAGAATGCAGAGAGGGATGGGGATGGACCTGGTGTGCCCCAGGGGACTGGCTTGTTTCTGCTAATTAGCAGTGTAACTAGCCGTGGCACAGCCCAGGGCTCCTGGCAGATAATTACCTTGCTGGGTGCTGGGAAGGGAGCAGAAAGACTTGCTGTCCATGGGGACTTGAAAACCTCCCCATTCTTGAACAGATTTGGGAAAGGCAGCTCAAAAAGAATAATATGGATATATATTTTAACAGAGCAATTTCTGCCAGGCAGGCAGGCCAATTTGTTACTGAGGTGACACATTTGGTTTTAGCTATAAGAATCAAGATTTTTCGGCTTTTCTCCTTTTTCAGTCCCTAGGGCAGGGGTTGGCTAAGTCACAGGGAAGCTGGGGGTCTGCATGGGAACAGGCTTGGGGTTCTGGCTTCCTCCTGACTGAGCTTTTGTGGGTGTTTCATAGAGCAGGGGGAGAAAAATAAATCTGGGAGTGCCCCCAGTCTGCTCACTGCAGCTCGGTGAGGTTTCCATTGGGCCAGGGTATCCTGCCATCCCTGTGCTGTGTGTGACTGTGCAGATCCTGTGCCATCCCTGTGCCCTCCCTGTGCTGTGTGTGGCTGTGCAGATCCTGTGCCCTCCCTGGGCTGTGTGTGGCTGTGCACATCCTGTGCCCTCCCTGTGCTGTGTGTGGCTGTGCAGATCCTGTGCCAACCCTGTGCCCTCCCTGTGCTGTGTGTGGCTGTGCAGATCCTGTGCCCTCCCTGTGCTGTGTGTGGCTGTGCACATCCTGTGCCCTCCCTAGGCTGTGTGTGGCTGTGCAGATCCTGTGCCAACCCTGTGCCCTCCCTGTGCTGTGTGTGGCTGTGCAGATCCTGTGCCCTCCCTGGGCTGTGTGTGGCTGTGCACATCCTGTGCCCTCCCTAGGCTGTGTGTGGCTGTGCAGATCCTGTGCCCTCCCTGTGCTGTGTGTGGCTGTGCAGGTCCTGTGCTGTGTGTGGCTGTGCAGATCCTGTGCCCTCCCTGGGCTGTGTGTGGCTGTGCAGATCCTGTGCCCTCCCTAGGCTGTGTGTGACTGTGCAGACACTGCCCCAGGGCTGCCGGGGGTCCTGCCCCAGGGCTGGCTGCTCTGCCAGCCTGGGGATGGCTCCCTGGAGCTGCCCAGGGG